GAATGGGAAGAAATACCAGCGTGGTCCAAACAGAACTGGCTGGTATCTCAATCGCCACAAAAGAAATAACCAGGAAAGGAATTTCTGACAAAAACATAACAATCTGCACTGACAGCAAACGAGCCCTATTAGTCTTGAACAGACAACGTATTACCTCAGGGCTAGTACTAGAGTGCCACCAAGATTTAGCCAAAGCCTCGGTAGATAATAACATTATCCTGAGGTGGGTTAAAGGGCACGACAGCAGTAAAGGTAATCGCATTGCCGACTCTTCAGCCAAGAAAGCGGCTGTACCAAAAATTCAAGGACCCAGTGGCACCTACGGCCTGATTACTTCCACAGTTGCGGAATTAGCCAAATGTTACACCCATAATCAGTTCCTAAAGAGATGGGATGTAATCAAAGGATACAATCTTGCCAGAATCACTCTGGGCGACCCTGGGAAGCTGGCGCCGAAGAAATATTTGGCGATGACCGGGAAAAATCTACGCTTAACAGTAGGATTTCTGACTGGCCACTGTCAACTAAGAAAACACCTCCATAATATGGGGCTAGTGGACACATCTCTATGCAGGATGTATGAACAGGAAGATGAGACTGTCAGGCATGTCCTATGCGAGTACCGGAGTTATTGTCAATAAGAGAGTGTTCGGCGAGTCTTGGCCCATACCTACCGATAAAAAGAAGATGTCTCCAAGTGACCTGTCCACCTTCCTGGAAAGGACAGGATGACCTAGGAGGATAACTCCTCAAGAGGATGTTCAATAGGACACATTTGGCCTAAGTGATGTGGGCTTACACTCAATCTCCCTACTCTACAGATACAGATATAAAATATAAGAATATAAATAACTTACTGACTTGCAGGATGCTGCTCACTTTCATTTTCTGAATTATCACTGTCAGGCATATTTTATTTAAAAAAATTATTTATTCAGTAAAATAGGTTATATACTGTAGTAAACACAACTGTATACACTATGGGTATCCAAGCTCATTGTGGCGAGAGAAATAGCGAAACGCCGAATCAGTGAAAAGAGTATCGCACAGTCGCTTGCGTATGGCGATCCGTCGCCGTGGCATTCGTCGCTACGCCAGCAATCGATTTTACGTGCGACTATAGATGTTTCACATCAACATAGGAAGTTTCATTTCTCATTTTCATCCTTCTAATTCGATATTTTGTAGCCCTGAGAATGGCGAAAGTCTATCGTCGAAACATTGGCAAATTAAATTGTGAATACTGGGTGATTCGTTATGTCCAACAGCTCGTGACATTTAACGTTAGTTTTATATTAGTTCAAATTGCCTGAAAAAAATTGAAAAAAAAATTAATAATTCCATTTTTTTAGGCAGACTGAAAGAACTTCTCGTAACGGCAGGTGGGGAGAACATTCCTCCCGTCCCCATAGAACAACAAGTCAAAGCTGAATTACCTCAAATCAGCAACGCCTTCTTGGTGGGCGACAAAAGAAAATTCCTTTCCGTGCTTCTTACTCTGAAAACAGAAGTGGATCCCGATACTGGTGCCCCCAATGACAAATTACTCTGGTCTGTTCGGCAATGGCTGAGCAGTCTGGGATGCCCAGCAGAAACCGTGAAGGAAGTATTGGCAGGCGGTCCAGATAAGAAACTTCTGGATGCGTTGAACGAAGGTATCGAAAGGGTGAATAGGCAGGCTACCTCTAACGCGCAGAGGATAAGAAAGTTGGCTGTTCTGCCGGCTGATTTTTCCATACCTACAGGAGAATTAGGTAAGTATCAAAGGTGGAGAGCTAACGGTATATCTGGTAATAAGGAAATCTGGAAAATAAGATTAAGGCAAAAGAGAACTTGATTGTAACTTTGTAAACTCAAAATAAGTGATAGAATGGAACTGGTCTGCTTTCGTCACAGAAGGGTAAACAATCTCCTGTGCTTTCGTTTTTATGTTCCAGCCCCAGGAAGGGTTTTTTGCCGAATCAAAAATATTAAAGCAGTAAACGGCTCCTTCAAAAACCGGATGATTTGAAAATAATAATTAAAGTAAAAGATACAGTTCTTCAGATACGATTCTCTTACTTCTGATGTGTCAAAAATTCGTTAAGCTGTTCTGATTATTGGTGGTTGAAACAAAAGATACAGTTCAAAATGAGTATAGTACACGCCAACTAAGACAAGATTTTGATGCGCATTTAAAACCAAATTGTACCCACCCCAGAAAATAGCTATTGGTCACACAAACTGATGTCGATAGTACATTGACGAAATATGACTCATGTGGGCGGAGTCTTTTAAGACAGTACGATTTTACGTTTCTGTGCTGACTCATCTCAGTTGACGCGTACTATATCAAATGATGACAATAATGAATACTCAAATAAGAAATTCAAAACTAGTTTTTCCAAAATTTCTGTCATAACTCTAGGAGAAAACACTTTATATAACATAGTTGATCTGAATGAAAGACTGAAAAAGTTTGAGTATCGAGTCAAAATCTCAAGAATAAAGTCGTAATTTTGAGATTGTGGTCGTAATTCCTAGACTGGAGTTTAAATCCCGAGATAAAATTTGTAATTTCGGGCTTAAAATCGAAATTTTGAGAATAAAGTCGAAATTTTTAGTTTAAAGTGGAAATTTCGGGATCGAAATCGAAACTTCGAGTTCAAAAGTCGGAATTTCCGCAACTTAGTGTTTCTGATTAGATTGTTCCAAAGGAGGGGTACATATGTAAGCATGTCATCTATTGATTTATTTCAGTTGCTGGAGCATCTGAAATATTAAATATACTGTTGGTTAACAGCTTTCTCCACGATTTTCGATAATATTGATGAGAAAGTGCTTTTCACTCAAAAATAACTGCACCGATGGAGTCATTTGATATTGAAACTGTGGATAATTATAAAGTACGTCTCCGCTATTCGATAGAAAATGATGCCTAAATTAATATTTGCCAATAATTCAAGCCCATACAGATCATTTATTGGGAAAGGCACCACCCACTATTTCCACACTAGAATCCACAATGCCAGAAATTACTTTTCGACAACTTCTAGTCAGGCGAATTTTGAAACAGCTCAATGTCTGTTCCTGCTGAAGTGCCCGTCATCGTACTCAAAAGTACGCCAATGAACTCACACCAGTGTTTTACAGACTTTTCAACCTGTCTTACAAGGAGGAGGTTTTTCCTTCTTGTTGGAGGTTTGCTCGCGTACAGACTATTCTCAAAAAGAGCAAGAAAATTCTCCCAAATAACTACAGACCAGTCGCTTTGCTATCAATGATATCAAAAGTCATGAATAAAGGCTTCAACATCTCGAGCGATCATCAATATGGCTTTCGGAAACAAAGATCAACAGGCAACCTTCTATCGTATGTCACCCATATTTGGAATAATGCAATCAATAAACATGGAGAGTCAAGAGCTGTTGCACTTGATATTTCTGAGGCCTTTGACCATGTGTGGCATGAGGGTTTGCCGGTCAAAAGTCGATGCTTTTGCTTGTCGGATCATTTTTGTGTACGGCTCTCCAGCTTCCTGAAAGAACATTCCCTGCAAGTGGCATTCGATGGATATCTCTCGAATACTCTTACCATCGTTGCTGGTGTTTACCAGGGATCTATATTGTCACCAAACCTCTTTTTATTGTATTTCAACAACTTATTGAAAAAACGAAGAACCCAGTACATTGCTTCGCTGACGACAGCACACTTGTCATTCCATTTGGGTTCCAGGGCATCGGCTGCGGATGCACATTTTCACCGGCAGCAGGAGGTTGCATAACTCAATGAGGATCTAGAACTAATTTCGAATTCGAGTGAAACCAACCAGGTTCAATTCAATGCCACAAAAACCAAGGCATCGGTTTTCTCCAAGAATATAAATGTCTACGAACTGGATATAATAATGTCAGGACAGACAATTCCGCTTTCTGCTTCGATAAATTTGTTGGGGGTTAGAATGGACACCAGTATGTCTAGGCACAATCTTGTCGCTGTCAAAAGCTTGAAACACTGTTCCGAACCAGAAAACTGTACACACCTCAGAAACTTCTGATGCTTTGTAAAGATCAGATCAGACCTTTTTTGGAGTATTATTCTAATTTGTTTGTATGGAGCTCCGCCCCTAAGCATAACCTGAAGCTGTTAGATTCCATTCAGAAAACTTACATGGATTGAAGACTCGAAGATAACTTGCAACCTGAATAGGTTGGAACATCTAAGAAAGTTTGGAGATTTCACGGGAGGTGTTCAAGTGACTTGACACACCTAGCTTCCACCTAGACTTCCACCTAGAGCGGTACATATCAGAAATACGCTACGGACTGTGGCTGCTCATCGTTTTGAGGTTCAACTCAGTATACCTCGACATTCACTACTTAATAACTCTTCCATTTGGAGAACTGCGTGTATGTGGAATAAACTTCCTAAGAACGTTTTTCCAAATGAATTCAATCTCCAGCGATTCAAATCCATCGTGAATTGCTACTTTCGCACATGTCATTCGACCTGGGTAAATATGATGGATAATAATAATAATACCCATTGTCAACTTATTCCGGTCCTGTCTTTTGATACCTTGTGAATTTCAATATGAGAATGATTGTCGTTATTATCATAACGTGAAATATTTTCTCCAAATGAATGTTTTTCCACACGATTCCAAAATTGATAAATACAGGCAATTTGATAACGAAGGTAAATTATATCAAGCAGCATATGGAGTAATGAAAAATGACGGTTATTCACATGATATTTATATGATACACAATGAAATAAACACTTCAGAATTCCATAATAATTCAGATAGTCACTTCAATGATTTATGTAATCGTATTTGATAAATAATAATGCAATAGATGATAGAATATGAGCAAGACTTTTCTTATTCTTGGATGAATACTTTCTTTCACAATAAAAAATATGGAAATTCAAATGCGATTCTTATTTTTCATATCATTTCCCTACACGTTTTTACTGACAGTTTGTTGTAACACTTGGGCTAAAAAATGCATAGGCTAACATGGATTTAATCATTCAATATAACGGTCATACAATTTTTCGATACAATTTTTATAGTACGATTTGTGTTTAGCCTCGAAATAGGCCTATGTTTCGACGATTACCTTTCCATCGACGGTCAATTTCTTTCCAGCCAGCATCCTCTTGAGGTCTGGGAACAGGAATCGGGGGGCCAGATCTGGATTCATGCAATTTTGTCATGATTTCGATTGATTTGTGACACGATGCATTGACTTGATGAAACATCATTTTCCTTTTCTTCAAATGGGGCCGTTTTTCCACGATTTCGTCATTCAAACGCTCCAATAAAGTTACGAAATAGTCGCTGTTGATGGCTTTTTCCTTTTCAAGTTAGTCGATGACTATTAAACCATGCGACCATGCGCATCCCAGTATACTTATACCATAACCTTGCCAGCCGACTGTTGCGTTTGTGTACGATTTGAAGTCGGTTCAACTCGTCTACTCAGATGACGATCGTTTTGATTCTGGTGTGGAATGATGGAGCCATGTATCAACTATTATCACGTATCGACGCACACATTCGGGTTTTTTATGGTGGAAAACCGTCAAACACTGCTCAGAATCATCAATTCGATGTTGTTTTTGACCGATTGTGAGCTTGCGCGGCTTCCGCAAACTCAAATATTCATGCACGATATGTCCAACATGTTCCTTTGATATCTTTAGAGCCTCAGCTATCTCGCTTAACTTTTTAGACTTTTTTGATGTTTTCGTCGGTAACAGCTAGCCTTCTTGGAGCGTTCACTACGTGAATCGTCCTCGGTGCTCATTTCACCTTGTTCAAATTCAGCAAACCACTTTTTTTTCTTTGATTAACGACGACTGAAGGTAGTATATGGAAGATAGGGACTATCGGGACTTTCAGTCAAACAAGTTCAAAAAACAAACTTAGATACTCCATTTCACAAATCGCCAAGCTTTCGTCTCTGAATAGAGACTTCGTCAGGACGCTAAAATGAAATACAATGGAAAAGAACTACAAAAAATGGACAAATGTTACAAGTGATCTGAGTTTCACAGTTAAAAATTGAATATTGATGAAAAAATGTTTTCACAAAATTTGTGCATTGATGTTAATAATGTCATAATTTTCAGATATCTGATATTAGTAATGTAATAACAAGAGTGACATTATAGCAGGGGAGCCCACGATTCAAAATGGGGATTTACTCGAGCGTCATAGTGACCTATNATAATCTGCCGCGCTTCAGTAAATCCCGAAATCCCCGCTTGTGCTCCCTTATTTTTATCATTGAAAATATTTCTATTTCATAAATAGTCATTGAATGAATTTTATACGTGTGATTATTTCAAATTGAGAATACTACCGAGATTTATCTATGTCTAGTAAATAATTGTAAATTATATCCATTTTCGATGTCTGCTTTTTTGTTCATATCATTAGGTTTTTTGTTAATAAAAACCAATCATCAACTCATACACTCATACACTGCAAATTCGATTAAATCTTTGGTATTTCGACATAAAAAATTCCTTTGGACATATTTTTTTCTGAATAGAAACTTTGCTTGATCAAATTTAATTTTGTGTCCTGTTTCAATAGGATGTTGAGCTACTGCACATGGATTTTTGTTTAATCTTATATCACTTTTGTGTGCTTGATAATGTTATGAAAGTTGTTCCAATATAATTTTAATCACAATTATTATTTGGTATATTATAAATGTTTGATTTTTTCAAATAATCAAGCACCCTTCTATCGTACAATGGTGTAGGGTGAGTTATATAAAACACAAATTACACCTTTCTTAACACGTCTTTTTACAAAATAATTTCCATTCTATTCTGTTAGTACTTAAATGCTACGCTCCTGCCCATGTTACTCCTCTTTTTTCCAGAATGTACCCTATTGTTTTATCCCATGTTTTCCTTGGTCTACCCTTTTTCTTATTCTTCTGGATTGTCGCTTCCCAAACTTTCCCAGTTAGTCTTGTCTCTTTCATTCGATACAAGTGTTCCCACCAGTTGAGTTGTCTCTCTTCTANGATTTGTTATTCTACACGACTGTCGAAAAAATAGTGTACCTACGCAACACGACCAAATTTTTTTTAAATCGCAGACTTGCAGGATTCTTCCCAAAAAAAAAAATCCGGACTTGTTACGTAAATTACAATTTTTGTAGGCATTGTACTTCTTTGTTCCAAATACTGATCTTGTAAATGTGAATCTAAATTCAAGGAATTGTTTGGCGGTATTACAAACCTGAATATTTTTGGGGAAAAGTTTTTGACTTTTTACTACTCCATCTTGATACAAAAAATGTGGGAATCTTCCAAGGAGAGAAAAGAAGAAATCAATTTTGAAAGAAGTGAGTCTATACATAGATGTGTAGATCATGCAAAGAAGTAAGTTTCAGACACAAACTGGAGGAAAAAGCCCTAAAATATCGATATAAAACATAGTAACTCGGTTGATTCCAAAATTCTGTGGCAAAATAAATTCCGGTTTGATGCGAGAGGGGGGGGGGGTAAAAAAAAGCTCTCCTGAAACAGCTACTTCCATATAAACATTGAATTACACGAATGACAAATTCTTTCGAAACAAATACTTTTATATGAACACTGAATTATACAAAAAACACTTTTCTATACTCAGTTTGTTCCAAACATTCGTTATGGGATTTAATCAGATATCATTCACCGGATTTCTACACAATATACTGAAACAAAGGTAAACATTTCACTTACATGGAAGAGTGTTATCCCCACTGGTAGAAATCGATGTTTGGCCTTAAGACACTTCAGTTCTAATCTAGATAACTTTATAAGAAAACACACAAAATCATAAATACGATTTTTTATGTCAGGGAATAAGTTTGATCTACTTATGTCATCGATGACATCGTAATGACATTCATTTACTTATTTCATTAAATCCCAGCCAAGAGGAATCTTGTTTGATTTGAAAGGGTTTCTACCACTCCACCTTGATTAAAAAAAATGTGGGAATCTTCCACAGAATGGAAGGAGGCAATCAATTTTAAAAGAAGTAACTCTATACATAGATGTGTAGATCATGCAAAGAAGTAACTTTAAGAAACAAAAATTAGTCACCCCCAACAATATAATATGACCCTTTCAACTAAAACCTAAATAGGTCTTCATAATGTTGCAGAGTGACTATGTGTTTTGCATTGTAGGGTATAGGTACTCATGTTTGTTACTGTATATTTCTAGAAGAGTACAACAAATATAATCGCAGATAGAACCGAAATTCCAAATTCATGAAAAATAGAACGGAAGTGTTATGTCGGTATACAATAATTGTTTTCTGGAAACTTACATCTTGTCAACAAGCTTTCAATCTGATAGAAGAATCCATAAATTTTGTTTATTTCACTTTGAGTTTCAATTTTATCAGTTATCAAGAGATCTGATATTCCAATTCGCAAAAAAATCACCGTTAGCTACGTATTTGATTAAGATAATCTTTGAGTACCTCTTTTGAAATTAACTTGAAAACATTTGTATACTTGCATAATTTGAGAACCAAAACCAGTTGGAAGTTTTAGGAAAACCATTAATTACCACACATTTTCAATTTCAGGTCCTACCATGAAAGTGAAGAGAAGAATTGTCGAACAGAAATATTCAGATATCATAGAAAAAATATACGCTTAAGCGATGGGAACACTTGTTAATATAAATAAACATTGTAATATTTGGATACGAAACAGGTGAAAATTATATTTGCAATAAAGTTATTTTTTCGTTACAGTTGTTTTATTGTTTTTGTCTACTTTTTGTCCACAGTCTCAGTATGAAGTAGTTTCCGTAATATTCGAAACTCAATATTTTCTTATACAATCTATTTCTTTGGGCAGCGGAGTAGTAAATCATTTTCAGGCTGCTGTTTCATAGGCGTACATAACTGAGTCGATTAAAAGTGAGAAATGTAGTATTTATTCCAAACATTTGATGTTGTATGATGTCATGTAACAAATATCAAAAGACTTTTTATGTTATGTATACGATGAGTAACAAAAATATGGAACAACCGCTTTAATAATTGAAAATGTTTTTCACATTAAACATCTGTTACTTCTGAATTCAAAGTATCACTACTTTATATGAAAAGCACTTTATAATGTATCCAATACCTTTAAAGCTTACCTCATTGATCAGGCATACCTGAGATATTTTTAATTTTCTCTGGAAAAAAGGATGACGTCAGGATTTGATCTGATCAAATCGTGCTTTGAGTACTTCATCACCTGAAGAAAATAAATCAATGATAAAGCCCTTCCATCAGTGTTGTTATTAGTAAATTAAACTGTGTGAATTAAAATGGCTGATTTTTCTCTCCACTAACGGAAAGATAATCATTCTTATTGTATATGACGCTCTCATAAACTAAGATACTTGGTGATGACGAAAGTTTCAAAAACATCGACATATTAATTCAAGAACGAGAGAAAAAATGAAGCCGTGATATCACCAAAACCATCTATACAATTTGGTTTTATGCCAACGTTTTGAACTTTATTAAATCCATCATCAGGGCTCTATAATAAAATAATTTAATATGTGAACAGTATATAATAATAAGTTCATTCACAGTAGAATCTTTACAATAATGGGATGAAAAACTTTGGGTGTCATTTGCAAATAAACGGTGAAACCCCATTTAGGACCAAATGATTGCGCATGGGTCTTTATTTCTCGTACTATACAGAATTTTTCCCAAAGAAATAATTACATTTATCATTTGAGTAAAACAGTAATTCGAAGATTTAAAATAATTATGAATTTTTTTTACAAACACTTACATAGTAACACATATATTTACAGAGAAAAATAGAAAAAAAATAGACAGCAGTATTCAATTTTCGACAAGTGAATGTATTTTATGTCTATTTGTCTCGTGTGAGTATCCTTTCATTATCTTTTTTATCAGTTCGAGGGAGTTTATACGGTGGATGTAGAATTTGTATATTTCTGGTGATTCATTGTACATTCTAACACCAAGGTAAGTATATGATCTTTGTACTTCCTATGAAATGGTCAGGCCACATATTTTAAATACTAGCGAGCCGCCCCGGCTCTGCACGGGTGCAATTCTGATGTAGAAGCATAAATTCACCCACCGGAAATTTGAGGACATGTAGAAACCGTGACGCATTATAAAGCGAACCCACATACAAAATTTCAGCCTCCGAAAATATAGCGATACGGAGAAACACTGATGAAAAGTAATTTTATAATGTAAATGCTCCCTTTTACCACCATGGGAGCGCCCCAAATGAAATATTCGAAAATACTTTTCTAATGCGCATCTAACACCTAAGAAGCACGTATATACCAAATTTCAGCTTCCTATGACTCATCGATACGGAGAAACAGAAGTATAGATAAGGTAGGGTTTGTAGTTGAGGCGTGTCTACACGCCCTATCTTGAGGAACTTGCTTCACTATCAGATCTAATAACTTTTTTATAATGCACTCGTCTTGGCAATGCCTACTTCACTCAATGTTTCCATCTCCGTTGGGGTTTTAAGGCCGTCGTAGTTTGGAATTGCTAACTGCGTAGTTTGAAATTCCAAACACAAATGGAGATAGTAACACTGAAAATCTCGGCCTCGAAAGCCTCAACCGATGTATCACCTACTTTATTGTTACGTATTTCCCAGTGTATTTACCAATAATTGACCTCACTGAACAATAATCAAACTCAACTTTATTTCACCTCAAATTCAACAAACACTTCAACTATTATTCGAATGTCTATCGCCTTACTAGGTCGCTTCGCCTACCGCACTGTAACTTCCCAATTGACTGTCTCCATGGGAGATTGGATAACGCTTACATTTAGCAATCCACGGCGCTGGAACATTCCTCGGAATTCCATCGAAGTCGGTAGCGGCAGCGAACATTCGCGCGCTCTCAGCTACGTCACAATTGTTTTATGGCTACCAGGGGCGGCCAGCTTTTTTTTCTTTAGGGCATGATTTACAACATTACATTTAAATGCTTTTGATAGGATATTGTATTGAATAAAGTAGATCGTGTCATCCAGACAAAGTCGCCAGCTGACACGGCCGTTTGTTCAATTATTCATTTGAAATGTCCTTTCAAATTCAGATACAAAATTCTTTCTGATGACTGCTTTTGTTCTTCCAGTGAATTTGAAAATTATCTCAAAACATCAGGCAAATATATGATTTTTACTTGTAATAAATGTATATTCTACAGTGGGTAACAATTAAAGAGTAAGTTACTTCAAATAATGTATGTAACGTAAATTTGTTTTTAATCCCTGAATTATATTTACATTTTTTTGACTCATCCAATCTATTTTCGTAATAGAATACAAATTCAATGAAATTTAATTTCTTAGACTCAGATAAAAAGTTATCTACACCTGTACCCATATGATACCGAATCGAAATTCTTGAAAAACTTCTATTGTATTCGTATTAACCACGATAATAAAGTTGGAGAATCTTCTCAGTATTTCAATGATTATATAATCTTGAAAATATTATCTATGAGAGGTAACGAGAATACCTAAATTCAGATTGACATCATTTCTGTCGATAAAAAAACTCCGATTTTCTCCACAAAAATGGCTTTGGTCTATATACAAATTTCATTTTGAGCTTTGCATACATCAACTTTACCTTCAATTTCTTTTTTTCTAGTTACAGTTAATGTTTCAACTCAGACGTAATGAATATTATTGTTATAGGTTATTTTCCTACAGTGTCCTAGCTCGAAGTACCCCGTTAGGCATTGAACTCAGAGAATTCTTTGAACTTTACAGATGATGTTGAACTTTAAGGAATATATAAAGTATCTAAGAAACATCACCAGTTTGCAATCAGATCAGTTAAAACAAATTTTCAATAACTAGCTTTGTACTGCTCGTAATAAGTGTCATATAGCTTGGAATATAATGTATATCTCAAGTGAAAAGCCAACTAATCAGATACTCTCAGAACTAAATACATGCAAATGAGAAACCTTTACAAGATAGAACGATTATTTCATCGATTCAATTGTTCTGATCACCGACAAAATGTATCTTACTGAGTGTCATTACCGACCTCAAGTTGCGAAATCTATGTTTCTCCAACCACTTTATGAGTTAGAAGTTGAAGACACATTAAAAACTGTTCCTACTGAATGTTCTGCTGAGCGCGATGAAAATCCGTGTTCTATGCTTCTTCATACTCTGGAACATTTCATTTAAAAACCCTAATATTCCCGATTCACAAGAAAGGCGATAAGGGTGCTGTTAATAATTATTGTGCTTTCGCTTCCCATTGGCTTTCTCGAAAGTTTCCAGTTCGGTTTTCAATATGTTACCCAAGACAAAGAAATCTGTGCCCAAGATACTATGTTATACACTTTCATTCTTCACTGCCTGGACAGTAACGAAAAAATAATTTTGGATCGCTCTAGAGTTTTCAACAGAGTAAACCACATACTGCTTGTCGATGAGCTTCGAAATTGCGACCTTAGAGGCCCTGCTCTTAACTGGATCGAATCTTTTCTTTCTCAAAGATCACAAGAGACTTTCATTCAGATGAATGGCATAAAATAAGCCTCTCCTTCTAGAAAAGTTCTCACAGGCGTCCCTCCCCTCAAAGTAGTCATAATCATTTCCTTTCCGTCATAAATGGAATTTTCGAATTCAATCCTTTCGTATTCAAAACTTGCTTTGCAGAAGACACATCATTTGGAGTCCACTCTCATGATCTCAACACTCTCTCTAATATTGCCACTGATGCAGCTTATGCTATGGATATATTATGCAAAAACAACGGTCTACCTTTGAACAATTTCAAAGATGATATGATTTTTTTCTCACGATGGATATAAAAACCAGTGTCAAGCTGGGCGGACAGTCTATCAAAGTAATGTGGCCAAATTCTTGGGAATTTGTCTGGACCAACAAGTAACTTGGATCCATCAAATTGCCTTCATCTGCAACAGAATAGCCAATCACTGTTTTATACTATGGACTCTCATAGATTTTGAATCACTCCATTTTATGAAAATGTATTACTACACACACATGCATTCAATTTTGAACTACTCAATAATATTCTGAGAAAATTGGTCCAGAATATACTGTGTTCTTGTAATGCAGAAGCGATCACAGATAAGTATGACCGTCAAGCATGCCAGATATTCGTGCAAAGTGTTCTGTATCTGTATCTGTAGAGTAGGGAGGGTGAGTGTAAGCCCACAGTACTTAGGCCACGTGTGACCCATTGTACATCCTCCCGAGGAGTTGTCTTCCTAGGTCATCGTCCATCCTGTCCTTTCCAGGAAAGTGGACAGGTCACTGGGAGACATCTCCTTTATATCGGCAGGTTTAGGCCAAGACTCGCCGAACACACACTCTCTTATTGACGATAACTCCGGGCAATCGCACAGAACATGCTTGACAGTCTCATCTTCCTGTTCACACATCCTGCATAGAAGTGGGTCCACCAGCCCCATATCATGGAGGTGTTTCCTTAGTTGACAGTGACCAGTCAGAAATCCTACTGTTAGGCGTAGATTTTTTCTGGTCATTGCCAAATATATTTTCGGCGCCAGCTTCCCAGGGTCACCATGGTGATCCTGGCAAGATTACATCCTTTGGTTTCGTCCCATCTCTTTAGGGATTGAGCATGGATGTAACACTTGACTAGTTCCGCAATTGTCGAAGTCATCAGGCCGTTGGTGCCACTGGGTCCTAAAATTTTCAGTCCAGCCGCTTCC